TGTAGGCGGAGACGAAGAGAGAGATGAAACTTCTTAAAAAGGACATCGTTTAACTAGAAAACATATTATGTCTCTTACGTTACACAGCAGGCTGCAAACTCCTTTAACGATGTCGATGAAAGTGTAAAATACTTGCAATGAACTGACACTATCTGCCCTACCCTCTTCCCTCACGCCAACCAGGTGACAGGCCGAGACAACAACAACGTTCAGATCTACCAGGAGAAACAGCGCGACCACCGACGGTCCAACTCCGACAGTTCTGCAATCAGGAACGCCGACGACCGCTCACGCAAAGCCCAGAGTCAGAAACACCTGCAGAACGCCCTCCAGCGACAGGGCCTGAAGAACCAGTACGGGGCAGCCGACAGACATTTGGACGCCGCTGGAAAGAAGGCGGAGGACTTCAAAACTTTCTTTGACAAGAGAGACGACAGGATTTGGAACGTGGACAGAGCGAAGGATGGGGCGTACAGAGGCGCCGAAGATCTTGCCGCTAAGAATGGTTTGTATAACAAAGACGCCATCGCTAGAGCTGTAGGCGGTAAAGGGGTGCAAGACAACAAGTTTTACGGAGGTCGTGAGATCGGCGGGATTGGTGGAGGTGTGGGATTCAACCAGGCTGGTGTCGCTGACGTCGGTCCTGCGGGTGCCATTGTTTCCGGTGACCCCAAATACGACGCTAGGATTGGACTCCAGGGAGCTGCTCCCGGTACTGTTGCCGCTTTCGGCCGGCCTGGAGGTATTGCTACTAAAGGAAGGCTTGAGAAGAGCGGAGGAGACGTGGTGAACGCTTACAAGGAGAACGCGATACAGGGCGATCTATCCAACCAGCTGTCCAACAACGCTGCGGAGAGTCGCGCGGACGCCGCCAACAAGTACCTGAGGGATAAGGGTCTTGAGGACGCCGTGCAGCAAGATCAGGCTAACCAAGGAAGATGGGCCAACCAGAGAGAGGGCTTCAGGGACGGTAGACAGCAGGGTTACCAAGGCGACAACGCCGAGGCTGCTCGCGCTAGCGAAGCTTTGAACAACGCCTTCAAGGACTCTTCTTCTGCTTCCAATCTGGACTCTGTAAACAAAAATCTTGATCAGGCAAAACTTGACAGAATTAACTTGAAGAGAAACCAGGTAGAGTCGAACCAGAACATCAGGAGCAAAAAGCAGTTTTACCATGACAAGAACCAGGGAGGCTTCAACAACGAGGGTCTGAACTACAACAGGAAGAGAGGCAACAACGACTTCGGCGCCCAGGAGACAGCCCAGAAGGAAGCCAAGACCCGAGCCAGCAACCTACACTCTAACAAGAAGAACAGTCTAGAGAAGAGACGGTACGAGGACTTTGACGGTCGCCGGGTGTCCAACGGTGACGCGGTGTTCAAGAAACACAGCGCCGAGAACGGAAACGCTCGCAAGTACGCCAGAGCTAGAGATGATGCACAGAACGCAGCACAAGGCTTCAACAAGAACAAGGTCAGACAGGAATTTGACCGATTCAACCAGAAGAACAACCAGCAGAACCAGAAGTTGTGGGACAAAGCCAACAAAGACTTCTTCTCCAGAAGCCTGGGCAACAACGTGGGCCGGAGAATAGACGCCAATTTCGACTACGAGAGCGGTTTCGGAGGCGGGCCTGGCCCGAGGTTCAGCACAGGAGGGTCGTCAGCCAACGGCCTCGGTTCTCGTAGCTTTGGATCAACGCCTCTAGGCCTGAGCGGTGGAATCTACACCAACTCTAACTCTGGGATCCCGGGAAGTTTTGGCGGGGGAAGTAAAGGTCTAGGTAACCGCGGGGGTATCATCGCTCCTAAAGCATTGGCAGCTGGACAGACGCAGTTTGGTGGCCAGTATTGGTAAACGTTCTAGAAGAGTTAATTAACATTAAATCAACAAATCAACCCTCCCGCTATACTAGTTCTACACAAAAACAACAAATAGACTTTCATGGGAGTATTCCATTCGCTTTGCCAGACTCAAAGACTGTTACTCATAACAGCACAGTTCTATAATTAGAACCAGTCTAAATTTGTACAACTTGTTATTGCTTCATATGAATACGTACAACTACTACTACTACTACTGCTATTACTTTTATTATTGTTGTTATTATTTCATCAACATTCAAGACTGACTTCTTTTAAGCTTTGCTTTCTCTTTCACTGTGGTTATCCCGTCAAAAACGCAGGCCGGGTACAGTACATTGCACTGACGGCAAAACTTGGACCTCTGCTCTGAACTCTGTACATTATTGATTTGCTGTAATATCAATAAACAAAACAAAACAAAATAAGAAGTGTTGAGTTTGTGTGTGCGTTATGCGTGTTCTTCTCGTTGTGAGCTCTCAACGTCTTTTAATTAGCAAACATTCTTTTCGGGACAACATTAAAGAGATGGCTCACGGGGATCAAAACATTTCCCTACGTATAAACCCTGAGTTAAATAATATTCTATCACGTCCCTCTTATCATCCCTCCCCACCCCCACCAACACATACACATTCTCACAAATTGATTAAACATTTAAATAAACAATCTTCACAACAACAAGCAAATAAACAAATCACCCCTCCCCCAATGCAAAAACCCACCAAAACCCCACCAAACCCCCACAAAACCCAAACCCCCCTCAGCACCCAACAAATTTAAACAACAAAACGAACAAGCACCCCCAAAAAACGAAATTAAGTTAATAAAAAAAAGTTTAAAATACACATTAAGAACTCTGAAATAAATTATTCATTATTTTAAACTTTCAACAAAGACCCCACCCCAGGCAAAAATAGAAGAAAGTCAAAAAAGAAAACCTAGAACAAATTTGATATTCTAAAAACGTGTTTTAAGATCTGGACTAGTCAAAACATTCTTGCAAGACACCGTTTAAGAAGCAGTACATAAAGGTAGACAGAGAAATAGATGCGAAGACAGCATCAGAGAGTGGCAAAACTCAAAATGTCCTACCAACTGAAAACATTAGGAGTGTCCCGCGCGCTCATATGACCTATGCAGTTGCGAGCGCCGTAAAACATGCCTCTGTGGTGTAGCTGATAGGCCTACTCACCAGGAAGACATGAGCTCTATTCCCATGTGAGGCGGAGAGGAATGAGAGATTGGTTCTTTCCTCGAGTATCTCCGTCCGTCTCCTGGGACATTGTATCCCTCTCAAACCCAAGTTTGCCCTGACAGGCTGGATCAAACGAATATTCCAGCTCCTTAAATAGTCTTAATTGTGTCGAAGGTGGTATAAAACATATTATTATTTTAAAAAACCATTATCATTATTTCTTTCCCTGGAACACAACGCACAAAAGCCGTACCAGACACATTATAATAAACTTGAAAGCTGGAGACGGTGTCGATATAGGGGACTCAAAGTCATACAATTACAACAATAATTCATAATTTTGCAGACTGGACTAGCCCAGAGAAAAGTGACGAATGAAGAAATTAGGATAAACATAACTTTTTACAAGTGGAGAAATCTGGTTAGATAGAACGGTTTGGAATTCCTCTGTGGTGCTTTAACGGTTTGCCAGACTATGGTGAAAACGGGGAATAGAGAAAGGAAGCAAGCTCACCACCACCACCACCAACAACAACAACACACACACACACACACACACACACACACACACACACACACACACACACACACACACACACACACACACACACAAATACCACGTGTATAAATACGAAGAGAGAAACAGAGACAGAGGCGCAAGGAGAGAATGAGAGAGAGGGGGAGGGAGAGAGAGAAAGAGAGACAGAGAGACAGAGAGAGATAGAGAGAGGGAGGGGGGGGGAGACAGAGAAACAGAGAGACAGAGAGACAGAGAGAGAGAGAGAGAGGGAGAGACAGAGCAAAAGCGAGAGCAGGAGAAAGAGTAAAAACTTGGAAATCGAAAGTTGCCAAAAGCTGACAACTTCGCGGTCATAAGAAATACAGCATAGGAAGAGGTGACAGAGGGAGAAGAAGAAGAAGAACGGGAATAAGAAAAAACAGGAACAGCAACAACAACAACTACGACAACAATAGCATCCACAATAATAGTAATAACAACAACAATAACAAAAACAACAACAACAATAATAACAACAACACCGACAGGAAGAAGAAGAAGAAGAAGAAGAAGAAGAAGAAGAAGAAGAAGAAGAAGAAGAAGTAGTGCAAACAATTATAGGGGGCTCTCGTGGCCTAGAGGTAAAGGTGTTCGCTTCTCATTCAAAGGTCCCGGGTTCGAATCCAGGTAGCGACGGAAAAATTTTCTTCACCTCCTTTCCTGCTCTCTAGCAATGTTCTGCCGTCTGCTTTCGTCTCCTATTTCTGCCCCCACCGCCTCACCCTTTTTGCCCCCTTCTCTAGGTTCTTGACTCTTTCTGCAGCCTGTCTACGGCTACTCCTTGGCTCCTTCTTACTGATCTTCTAGTAGGAATGATCTACACCTAGCCTTCTCGGACAAAGGTGAAAAATCTCGGAGGTCCCGTGTGCAAGTTGTGCACGCTAATGATTCCTTGGTGGTCTAAAATTGATAAGAGTAGGCTTCGGCCGCCACCCGGGCAAAATTCCAAATTTCCTACCAACCGAAAATGTTTAATGTGTCCCGCGCGCTCATATGACCTTATGCAGTTGTGAGCGCCGTAAAACACGTACAGAAATAAAATCAAAACAATTATATTAACTACCTTAAAAGATAGCATTAGTTGGGGACTCTGAATCTAACGCTCCTCTCAGATAGGACCTAAACAAGTGAAAGGTTAACTCTAAAACCTTACTCAACAATCCAAGATCATGAACATTCCATTGAGGACTTGAGCCGGGGTCATTCGCCTCAAATTCCAGATTGATCTCAGTTGAGCCCAAAATGATGTTAAGATGGGCTTTAGGCAACTTTCGATAGCTTTTACTCTTTTGTATTCGTCTTCACAATAATAATGTCATTATTACCTTTACCTCTCCACTACCATCATCCCTGTCCCTTGTCTTGTTTTTTCTACATCACTTTCTTTAAAAAAGCAACACCAGTTCTGCTCCTCTGCCCATGTAAATTATATAAATTACTTTCATCTTCACACTTTTTATTTTTTATCGTTTTATTATAACAATCATCGCTATGTTCATCATGACCATAAAGAGATAGATAAATAGTGAAAAGGAGTGCAAATTTTACAGAAAAAAAAAGACTTAAGCCCCTTGCACATTAGGACAATTTCCATTGGTAGAATGGATTCGAGTATGCCATTCATGCAATGTTCGCCCTTTGGTGGGTGCTCTGGTTTATTTTGCCCCTTCTTTCCCATCAAACATTATAATATATCGTTCCTATCTCTCCACCTTTTTCGTGTTTGTTACTCTCTAGACACACATCTAATCTTTGGCGCTTATAACCTGGTTCTGTTGCAAGTGCCTTAAAAAATTCTTTCAAACACAAAACAAAGCCTGTTTGTCTCTCTTCACCACCAAGTGACGTCAGAGCTTGCAGCCTTGCTATGACTGGAAATATTTCTCATGTGATCAGGGCTCTATGTAAAGGAATGAATAGAGGTAGCAAGGCACAGGGACGGAAAAGGGCAAGAGAAATTAATAATATTATAATGATAGACTGACAACAAGAGAGAGAGAGAGAGAGAGAGAGAGAGAGAGAGAGAGAGAGAGAGAGAGA